TGTCCCTATTCCAAGTAATTTTGTGCGTTTAAGTACTCCGTAACTGCCCCGTTCCGCGGTGTTCATGTACAACTTGGAAGGTATTCTCTCGCGCTCGATGATATAGGGAAAAGAGACGAAATTCTCTGTTTCTCCTTTAAAGAGACCACCATGGACGAGAGGAGTTGTTTCCTTTTCACTTAAGGCGCAAACTTTTACTATTTTATGAGAGAGTATAGTCTTTATATAATGAATTTTCCATTACGGTTGCCCACTTCAGAAACATTTCATTTGACTTGTGTTATTTTTTTTCCTTTTTACAGTCTTTTACATTCTTTTTAAATGCAGACTTTTTTGTGTTCTATTAAAAGATTTATTGACTCATAATAGAAGAGGTTTTTTTTTTTATATCTTACAGTCGTTTAATGAGATATTTATTTTTCCGGAACTTTTTGGACAAAAATTGACAATGGTCTAATATCAGTAAAATTAAAAAATTAATTTTCCCATGAATTCCAAGATTTTAACAATGGTTCCAAATCCGTAAAATTATTAACAAATTTTTTCTCTCATGGTTTCTAAGATTTTAGCAATGGTCAAAAATTCGTAAAATTTAAAAATTATTTACCCACACGGAGAGAATTCTGTGGTGATTTTTATACGAAACATAACCTAGATTATTCATATAGAAGAGTCGTAGCAACTTTTGCTTGAATTCAAATAAAATTCGTGAGGAAACCGACTTATAATAGCACTCAGTTCTCCTTATAAAAATTACAAAATTTAAAAAAAACTTTCAAACAAAAGTTATAGACCTTATTGAAATACCTTTTTTTTAATTTTGTATATTTTACCCAATAAACGAAAACAAACATAAATTTTTGGACTTTTTTTATGGTTTTCACCATAAAAATCAAATTTTTGGGTTTTGACACTATAATTTTCGTAATCAGCGCATCAAAATACATAAAAGTACGTAGTATAAGAAAAAACCAAAAATATTTTTAAATAATTCAAAATTCAAAAATTTTTGAAAAATTCCGAAAATATTGTAAAAATTGTTTGCCCATTATCGGGCTAGGCTTAAAAGTTTCGTAAAAAGTAGTTTTTTCGAAAAAATTTTGAAAAAAAACGATCAGTACGTCAAATGAGAAAAAATTTGAAAAAATTCATGGAAGCTAGTCTCAATTAGTACTAAAAGAAAATAAAATCTCAAAAAAATCGGAGATGCAATTGCAGATCTTACACTTTGGCGTGGAATACGCATCCTATATAAAGACACGAAAAATGCTTCCAAAGATGACGGTTACCACTTAAAAAGGTAGTTCTTAACGAGAAAAAAATATGCCAATAGTTGTAATTTGTCATATTAATTGTCATAATAAAAACTAGGTGTTTATTTCATGACCATTTAGCTTCCTCATCGTAATACGATGAGGATTATATTCAAGATTAAAAGAAGGATTACAACTAAAATAGCGATCAATTTTATAAATATTAGTAAAATGTAAACTTTGTATACCTCAATCGACTCGTTTTAAGGCAAGAAATAAGTTTTTTTACTAAACAAAATTAAATTTACAAAGAAAAAAATTTTTTTTTTAAATTTTGAAAAAATTGTGAAAAATAAAATGTTGTGAATATATTCGGAAATCCTGGTGTCAGATTTTAGGTATTAATGATTACAATCAGCATACAAAATTTTAGGACAATTCGTTAAAACGTTTCTGAGATAATTTGTACACAATATTTTGTGACCTACACACACATACATCTAGACATTTGCTCAGGACTTCATATATATTATTTCTAGATGAAAATGAGTCCATATAACCCAATTTTAAAAAATCGAAAAACGTCATGAATGCAAAGCTTCCTCATGAGGAAGCAAAATTAAGGTGGAGCACGACTCCCCACGAGGCACAACTCCCAACTCTCCCTTATAACAATTATCGACATAGAAATCTACATTACCGACTATCGGTAAAATATGAAAATGGCTATATAAAAAACTACCGACACAGAAATCTACATTACCGACTGTCGAAAAACATGGAAATGTCGATATAAAAAATTACCGACACAGAAATCGACATTACCGACTGTCGAAAAACAGGAAAATGACAATATAAAAAATTACCGACATGGAAATCTACATTACCGACATAGAATTCTACATTACCGACTGTCGATAAAACATGGACATGGCGATATAAAAATTACTGACACAGAAATCTACATTACCGAGTGCCAAAAAAACAGGAAAATGACAATATAAAAAATTACCGACATAGAATTCTACATTACCGACTGTCGGTAAAACATGGACATGGCGATATAAAAATTACTGACACAGAAATCTACATTACCGAGTGCCAAAAAAACAGGAAAATGACAATATAAAAAATTACCGACATAGAATTCTACATTACCGACTGTCGGTAAAACATGGACATGGCGATATAAAAATTACTGACACAGAAATCTACATTACCGAGTGATGGTAAAACAGGTTTAGCAATGGTCCAAAAACCGTAATATTATATCATTAATTTAAAATTTTTATTTTTAACTTCTAAAGAATTTTCTTAGATATATATAATTATTTTTAGATGAAGTTTCATTTTTTAAAATAGTATTTGACAAAATTTCTTTTAAAAATGCGGAAGTGGTATTAAAAATTAGAAAAAGTGTAAATGGTAATTAGAAACATTGAAAGTGGAAGTGCACATTTGAAAAAGTGAAAATAGAAAAGAAGTGGAAATGAAAATTGGAAATGTGGAAGTGGAAATTGGAAAAAGTGTAAATGGAATTTGGAAATAGTGGAAGTGGAAATTTGAAAAAGTGAAAGTGGAAAGGAAGTGGAAACTGGAAAAGGTAGAAGTGGAGATTGAAAAAAGTTGAATTCGGACTTAGAAAAATGAAAATTGGAAATAGTGGAAGTGGAAATTTGAAAAAGTGGAAGTAAATATGAATATACATAATCGACCCCCAGAATAGGAAATAAATTTTCGTGTGAAAAACTTGAATTTGAGAAAATATATTATAAAAATTATTTAAATAATTAAAAATAATAACGATATAATTTAATAATTGAATGTAATAAAAAAAAAATGCCAAAATATTAGATTGCATTGTATGAAAATTAAGCTGATGCGTATGGCAATATAGAAAATAATGTAAAATGTGTTTTAATCTAATTTTGGTGCAGCAAAGCACGTTGAAAATGTCCGAGAGTAAATTCTGTGGGATTGGGTTTACGTTGGGATGCAGTTAAGGCGGTTTTGGGTCGTGAGAGAGAGAGAGAGAGAAGCTTCTCGTTTATCGTCAAACTCAAAGCTCCCCATAGCCCATAGGACTGTTGAGGCATTTTACGTGCGCGACATAACCTCAAATCGCCTGGCGTCCAGCAACGTCGTCGTCGTAGTCGTCGTCCCGGCGCGCCACTTTCCAGTAATTATCGAACCGGGCTTATAGGCGATATATATATACATATACCTATATATATATAACCGACTTCAATTTGTAGGCTGGGCATTAATTCAATTGCCCCCCCGACGGTTTCCAAGGTACGAGTGGGCGGTTTATCGCGTTTATACGGTATACGTAATCACCGCCTCGGTCAGCCGTTCCGCGTCGATGTCCAGTACAAACGTCTTCAAACGCGAATTTCGCAAACGACGCCATTTTCAAACGGAAGCCGCTCCCTTGTACTATATTCAGAGAGAAATAGAGAGAGATATAGAGAGAACATTGGAACACTGAGCTTCACAAATATTCCATCTCTTGACAATTTACGACCTTAGCACGATGTCAAATTTGTTTTTATGGATATGCATTAAATCTGTTTATACTGTTATATAACTGTTCTATAATTGTTATATAGCTGTTATATATATTTAAGTTTCGTAAATCCTCGACGAATTTACAATCAAGATATGCACCGGATGTGAATCGAGAGTTTATAATTGTTATGTTATTTGTATATATTATATAATGTAATATGTGTGGAAATTTTGAACGAACCCTGATGGGGCCCTAGTCGGGAAGCCATTAATTTACATGAAACACTAAATTTGGAAATTTTTGACACATTTCTATATACAGTTACGGTGCAGTTATATACTATTTTCTATTTAGCCACTGTATAGTTGAACTACACTGAAACTATCTTGTACCGACCAACAAGTTTCTAGATATTCAAACTATATGGAAACTATATATAGTTTCTAGATACTTGAACTATGTCGAAACTGTCCAGTACCATCTAAATAACGTATCTTTTTTTATTTAAAAATTGATATGCATTTTTTTTACAGAGATCATAATATTTTATCATAAATGGAATGACCTTGAGAATTTCCAACTTAGGAATTTTTTTTGAATTATAAAAAAATCTAAAAATATACAATATGATTATCAGTGTTGGGTAGTAACTAGTTACTAGTAACTAAGTTTATTAAAAAAGATACGTTACCTGTAACTTATAACGTAACTTAGTTACCTTTTTTTCAAAGTAACTTGTAACGTAACTTAGTTACTATTTTAATAATAACTTTTAACTTTACCCAACCAAAAATTTCAGTATTATACCAGAGTTAACTACTGGCGCAGTACTGGTTCAGTATTGGCTGCCGAGGCTGGGCAGTCTGTACTGAACCAGTACTGGTATTTTCATTGTATCAGTACTGGTGCAGTACCACCGATATTGAGCCAGTACTGGCTCAAATAGATTTTCTTTTTGATTAATACTAGTTTACAAAAATTTCTAGAGTGAACCTGATGAATCTTTTTGTTTAAATATTTTTTTTATAAAAATTTTTTCACTTTGATTTTATTTTTGAAAATTAAGGTATTACTCACACGACTGGTAACATTCAAAAGTTTTTTCTAGTCACTGTACTTATGAAACAGTAAAACATGCGAGTTTCAAATAAAACTTTTGCGCAGGTACAGTTTCACACATTAGGCATCTCAGTTCATATACACAGACACACACATATCACGGTCTAGAAAAGCGATCATGGCAACGTCGCAAGTTTTTGATTGCAAATGGCGTCTTCTGTTAAAAGATTCTTTCGCAGTGAAAGATAAAAGTTTTTGTTTTAAAGTGCGTGTAGATGTAATATTAAAATTTAAAAGATGGAAAAACAATTGAGACACAAAGGCAAATTTATTAAACAAAGCGTTCTTACCAAGAAGACGAGTTTTCTTGCCCAAATGACTCGGGGAAAACAACTTTGCGATGAATTAAATAATGTCAAAGACGTAGACGTAAATAAAGTGACAGAAATTTGTCCTGGTCGACGAATTGTTGAATTGGACGTCATAGCAAAAAATTTAAAGTGTATAAAGTGCAAGGAAGCAATTTTCCTGAATGATATTCAAAGTGAAAAGTGTTTTGGACTAAACTCAGTTCTAACCATCCGCTGTCAAAAATGTTTGACAGAAACATCAGTTCCAACTGGAAAATTCCACAAAACCCTGGAATCACACTCTCACTCTGACGTGAATACAAAAGCAGTTTTAGGTAAGATTTGCTGGTTTGTGAATTACTTTATCATCTTAATCTTAACCTAACCTCACTTTTTAAATATGCAGGAGCTGTACATTCAGGAATCGGAAACACGGCGCTAAATAAGGTGCTAGCGTGTTTAAATATTCCTTCAATATCAACAAACTTGTATAAAAGATATGAAAGGGAAGTTGGGCCTGCACTGGAAAAAATTGCAAAAGACAGTTGTAAACAAGCCGCTACGGAAGAACGCCAATTGGTAATAAACAATGTCGACCAGCTGTGTGAGGATCTGTAAGGTTTTTTTTAGTTCTTAAGTTTATTATTTAATTTAAAACAAAATATAATTTACTAGTATATTATAAACATATAATACACTTATAAAATATTAAATAGAATTGAATGCTTTTATAATTCTTCATTTGATCTACAATATGTATATTTATATATTACGAATTAATTTATGTTATCATTTCTACAATATTGAATTGTATAAAATCAAAATTTTTTAAGTATACACATATTTATACATATAATATACGCATATTTCTAAGTGTCCAAATGATATTAAATGTTTTCAGAATATTTTATAAGATCTGACATAAGCCAAAAGTTTTGAACGTTCCTATGAACGAAATTTTTTTTGCAACTTCTTCAAGTACGAATTTTAATACAAAATATTGTTCAAAATATCTAAAAAGAAGTTATTAATTTAATAATTATTTAATTTACTGTTTTATTTTACATGGTCATCATAATTTTTAATAATTTATAGTTTGAAAAAAATATTTGTTCATATGAACGTTCAAAACTTTCGGCTAATGATCTGACTGCATATTCATATACCATAAATTGATTTAAGTATTGATTTATACTAAATTTAATTGTATAAAATTTAAGAAATTTTAGCTTGAAATGTGTAACACGTTTATAAAATTCCGTAATCTTATAAAATTAAATAATGTAACATTATTTAAATGTTGATGTCCATATTTTAAGGCATTTACATTTAAGATAAAATGTAACAAACAATAAACAATTTGAATTAAATTTTTAAATCTTTTCATTTTCTTTCTTAATATATAAAATTTATATTTGAATTTTTTTTCAGTCCACTTGATATTGCGAAAGATATTTATCCGTTCAAAGAGATTTTGAAAAACACACCAGAAGAATTTGACTCGGCTTTGGGAAATATTGTCAATATCATAATATCATATGATATGGGATGGAGTAAACGCGGAAACGGAAGAAGTTATAATAGTTTAAATGGATACGGTTGTATAATAGGATTTTTAAGCGGGAAAATACTAGATTTCGGGACGAGAAATCGCAAATGTAAGCTTTGCGCAATAGGACGACAGAAAGAGGATCACGATTGCCGTCAAAATTTCGACGGGAGTGCCAAGGCGATGGAATCTGATTTGGGAGCTGAGTTAGTAAACAATAGTTCAATTTTAAAAGAAACTGGTGTTAAAGTCAGAGTTGTGATTGGTGACGAGGACAGCTCAACAATTGCGAACATTCGTAAAGGGAATGAGGAAACGATTTACAAACTCGCTGATCAAAATCATTTACGCAAAAATGTTGGTAAAGAGTTATACGCATTACAAACCGATTTTAAGGAGTTGAGAAAAAAAGGTGTTATCCAACACATTAAAAAGTGCTTTTGTTACGCAGTTGCACAAAACGAAGGAGATCCTGATGGAGTGTCAGCAGCGTTACTCGGAATACCAGAGCATTTGTTTGGAAATCACGGAAACTGTGGAAATTGGTGTAGCAGAAAATTAAATAATGCTACAAAATCACAGACAGTTTTATTGACTGATAAAACTCTCAAGAAAGAATTGAAACAACTTTTCAAAAAATATGCGGATAGTCCAGAAAAATTTTCCATTGCTGCTTCAAGTCAAGCAAATGAAAGTGTTAATAATATTATGGCCCATAAAGCTGCGAAAAATCAATGTCATAGTCTAAGTGAATCTGCGGATTATCGTTTTGCGAGTACTGTATGCTCCAAAAATATTGGAGAAACACATTTGTTGAATGTGCAAGAAACATTAAATCTTTCTCCTGGTAAGCATACGAAAGCGTTTGCAGAAAAAAAAGATAGAATTCGATTGGCAAGGAGGATCAGACAAAAATTACCAGAAACAAAAGCAAAAAGAAATTTATTAATCAAAGAAAAAGAAAATCAACGACAACAAAAAGAAAGAAACGAAGGAATCAAATATAAATCGAATTGTGGCTTTGACATTCCAGCGGTTGCTGACAAAAAAGCTATTCTACAGTCTTTAAAGAGTTTAACAGGAATTGTTTCTAGAACAATTATTCAAAAAATAGCTAATGCAGGTCTAGATTTTGAAAAACTTGAAACAACATATAAAAATGCAGGAAGTGTAGGTTTGGTACAATTGTTGACTGCATTGAATGACCAAAAGAAGGCATTGGTCACTAAACACAAAAATATTCTTGAAAAAATTACAGATTTTTTCAAAAATCATTGCAAATGAAAGCCAATGTTAATTTTATTATGTAAGTTGTTTGCAAAAATGAAAAACATTCAATAAAACTTGAATACAAAATTATATAATTTATTTTTGTTGAAAATGTTCAAATTCTATGAACAAAACAGTATTTTTATATATTATAACCAAATTAAAGATGTGCAAATGTGTAAGAATAATATATATAATATATTATTGTTTCCGTTGAAAGTGTTTATAAACAATTTAATATGTAAAGTGTAAAATTATTAATTTAAGAATAAATAAAAATGAATTATATTTTAAAATATTTGTAATTTTTATCATTTATAATTATCCTCATAGTTTTATTTATTTTTAAATCTTTTTTTTTAGATAATTTATAAGTTAAATCTTAAAAACCAATTTTATTTGTTAAATAATAAGTTTATGAAATTTTTATATAAAAAATAATTCAAAGTTTAGGCCATTTAATCAAAGATAGGAAAAACATTTTTTTAAAAACTTTTCTATTTTAATTTTCATCATCATTTTCAAGAGATTAAAAAATCTATAAACCATTTTATTACATTTTGTAAAAAAAAGCAACTTCCAATTGTATTGAAAAATTATACATAAACGTGCGAATGTATAATATTAATAACAAAATATATAAACATGAAAATACCATCGAGATGTTGAGATAAAAAATAGAAAATTGATTTTGTTTTTTTTAAACATTAGAATATATGGCTTAAACAACAAAAATTTTTATAATAACTTTTGTTTATGATATTTTATATTATTATATATTTAATAAGAAGTTGTGACTATTGAAAAGTAAGACAAAGAACCAGGATTTAATTCAAATTTCGCGCCTAAATCAGCAGATCACATGTATCGTTCAACAAGCGCTGTTGCCACATATACTCATTCATCCTTCAAAGACAGCAAATATTTTATTAATTTTTTATCTTTGAAATTAAATATTTTTTGAACAAAACGGTAAAAAATTTTCATTTTTTTTATATAAGTTCATTTTTCCACCATAAATATTGTGTTAGTTTTTTTTCTAAATCTGTCGAGTAGTAATGATGCAAAAAATTGAAATCTGTAATGAATACATGGTTTTCGTATCCCGTACATGTAAAAGATTGAAACTTTGATTTCATTTTTTGGGACTTAGAAACGGTCAATTTTATTTTTTTTTTGTATTACTTTGTAGATAAATACCTAAGGAATAACCAGGCACACTTTTAAAAAAATCTGTCGAAAAAAAATCTACGTGAGTAATACCTTAAAAGGTATTTTATTTTTTGCTTTTTGTGGGTAAAATTATTTAAACAAAAAGTTTCCTGAGACTAATTCTAAAACATTTTGCAAGTTTTTTTTTATTGTTTTCAGATATGTAATAAACCAAAAAAAAATTTAAACGATCAAACTAAAAACAAAATAAACTTTTTTATAAAAAAATTAATAATTTTTTAAATAAAAATTTTTAAAAATTTTCTTGACAACACTTGTTAAAAATTAAAAAACAACTTTTATTTTCTTAAAAAAGTTTTTCAAAAATTTATTTTGATGCAAATAATTAAAGTGAATAATAAAATAATTAAATAGCTAATTGTATAATTATATAAATTATAATTATTTTATAAACATTTTTATTTTTACTGAACTGGTTTTTTATATATTATAAAAACTTTGGTTTTATAATAAACATATTTTTATATTTATTTTTTGATTTTTTAAAATAATAATTTGCAATATATATTATAATAAAGAATAAAAATTCATTCATAAACAAAATATTAATTAGTTAGTTGACTAATTTAATTAATATTTAATTTGTGTTGGGTTACTAAAAATTTCACACACTTTTTCCTAAAAAAAAGTATTACCTGGAGCAGAGATTTCACTATTGCAGTGAAACTTATCTCTGTTACAGTTAAAGCTTTCTTTTAGTATACAATAAATTACAAAACTACCAGTACTCAGCCAGTACTGAATCAGTAGTGGTTACCAGTACTGGTGCCAACTCTGGCAGCCAATACTGGTAAAATGTTATCATCCCAAAGTTACGCCAACTCTGGTGCCAATACTGGGTGCCAGTACTGCGCCAGTACTGTGCCATTAGTAAATTTTTGATTGGGTAGGTTATTTCGTTACTTTCTTTGCACTTTTTTTCTTGCTTTAAAAACTTAATAATTTTGTGATTCAAAAAGAGCACACAAAGTGATAGTTCCATCGTATATAAATAGTGGACAAGATTTTTTTTACTATATAAGAAATTAATTTAAAAGAATGTCAGAAGTACTTAATTCTGATATTTCCGATAGTAACGAATACAAAAGTGACTAATTTTGAAGGTTTCATTCCATGGGTAGGATTTGCAGAATTCTTTACTTTTACTCTAAGAAAGAGAATAATTTAAAATTAATAAAAAGGGTAGATGTACATTTGCGGCCACTGCACCGGTTTTAGCCACTTTCAGATAAGTTTTAATGTAGGTTGAATGTAGAAATATTTTCAAATTTGGGTGAATTAGGTTTAATGTAGAGTCAAAATAGGTTAAATATAGGATTTTAGTTAAAGAAGGTTTAATGTAGGTTCAATGTAATGTCAAACTAGGTTGAAGGTTATAGGTCTTAATAGGTTTAATGTAGAGTTTAAGAAGGTAGGATCAAAGTTGATTTCAGGTACCCAATCAAAAATTTACTAATGGCGCAGTACTGGCGCAGTACTGACAAGTGTTGGCGCAGTACTGGCACCCAGTATTGGCGCCAGAGTTGGCGTAACTTTGGGATGATAACATTTTACCAGTATTGGCTGCCAGAGTTGGCACCAGTACTGGTAACCACTACTGGTTCAGTACTGGCTGAGTACTGGTAGTTTTGTTATTTATTGTATACAAAAAGAAAGCTTTAACTGTAACAGAGATAAGTTTCACTCCAGGTAATACTTTTTTGGTATACTTAGGAAAAAGTGTGTGAAATTTTTAGTAACCCAACACAAATTAAATATTAATTAAATCAGCCAACTAACTAATTAATATTTTATTATATATAAAATCGAAAACACCAAGAATTTTTATTCCTTATTAAGTATAATATATACATTGCAAATTATTATTTTAAAAAATCAAAAAAAAAATATATAAAAATGTTTATAAAATAATTATAGTGTATATAATTATACAATTAGCTATTTAATTATTTTATTATTCACTTTAATTATTTGCATTAAAATAAATTTTTGAAA